GAGGTTGCTGTGAGCGGAGATCGGGCCACTGCACTCCAACCTGGGCAACAGTGAGACTGTATCTCAAAAAAAAATAAGTGTTTTGTTTTTGTTTTTGTTCAATGTGAAGGGGAAATCGTTTTCTGTTATTTAATAGGAATTGCAGTGTTTACGGAGGCTGGGAAGAAAAACTGTCAGTGAGATAATAATCCTTAGAAGAGGAGATAGAAGTGGGAGACAGTGAGAACATGAGGATGTGAAAAGCATAAATTATTAATCGGCTTGAAGCTTCTGAATAATGGAGCTTTCTTCCTAAGTTATATCCTTCTGGATCTCTCTGAAATACTCATGAGTAGTCAGAACCTGACTTTTTAATATTTTATATTATCTACTTTCCTGCATGTAGCATTTTTTAAAAATGTTCTCTTTAGAATATATTTAAACAGCTTTATTGAAGAAGGTCAGTTTTAAGCAACATTTCCATACCTGGTATTTGCTATGCATTATAACTAGGTGCTAGAGAAAAGTCAGATGCTTTTCTTGACTTAAAGAGCATAGTCCAGTATAGGGGTATAGGCATAATATCTGCTTACAGATGTCTGTAATATGCATCAGTCATTAACATGACAGTCTGAAAACTTCAAATTATACCCCATTATTTAATCAAAGTAGAAAAAATCTACCAAACCGTCATGACCTGTACATTTTGCTGTCCAGAGACTTGGATGAGATTCCTATTTTGGTGTCTAATACTCTGTAATCTGTTATACTATGGGAATTTGTCGTCTTTCGTCTAAAACCAGGTGGTCACGGGATATAATCTCCTCCTCACCCTCACCCCTCATCCCTCCGATTGTGCACGTTGTACACATTGTCATCTTTTTTTTTCTAGGGCTCAGGATGGGGTTGTTGCTTGCTTCTGAGTTCTAAGTACTAATGAGGCCACCACTCAATCACTGTGCTAGTGTACAACTCTCTGGCCATCTGGTTCCTTCTTTCTGCTTCTTATCATGAACCTGAACTCCTAAGAGATAGGTCCATAGACAAGTATTCATATAATGTTAACCAGTTCATTTTTTCATTTAAATATAGCTAAATTTGTGCAGATACGTATATCATACATTTTCTACACCTCTTTTGCAGGTAGTAACCATGGCTATGTGGGTTCCAGTAATAGAATATCAAGAAGAACACATTTATGCTCTGCTGCTACCAGTAGTTTACTAGACATTGATCCATTAATTTTAATACATTTGTTGGACCTTAAGGACCGGAGCAGTATAGAAAATTTGTGGGGCTTACAACCTCGCCCACCTGCTTCACTTCTGCAGCCCACAGGTAAAATAATACCAGTGATAATTTCCTTTTTTTCTGTGGCTGTCTAAAAGAACTCTTGGATTTTCATTTAAGTATTTCAGCTATGTGTGGAACATGGTATATTTCTGTTTTTCATTGTATACCCTAAAAATGATATTTATATAAACTAAATTAATTTTTAAATTACTGTTCAAAGGTGATTTGTGCAAAAACAAAGTAAAAATGCCCACAAGAAGGTTTTTTATGATTTTGCTACTCAGATTTTGCCTGATAGTTTGATCCATATGAAATACAGTTATCTTCTTTGTGAATGGACTTTTTTGGGTCAGGCTTCATGAATTCCCTTACTTCCAAGTGGAACTGTATCTAAATTGAACATAGAAAAAGGTGACTTACTCATTCTTCGATGTTCAGTAGCCTAAAAATGTACACCAGTTGGCAGCAATGCTTTCTGTGCAAAGGTTATTTGTTAAATGGAGATTACATTTGTGTTACTATAATAAAATGGAGATTTGTATAGTCAAACATGGGCTTTTTAAAACTCAGAGGTAGAGTCATTTTGGACAACTAAGGATTTGCCTTTAAAAACTACATTTTTAAAACCATTTTTGTTGGAATGCTTTCTAAAGTATATTCAGTATATTCAAAAATATATGACAAATATTTTTCCACCTTCTTAAACAATAGTATTATATACATCAAATCAATGATTTAGAACTCTGATTTTGATGCAGTTTTAAGGCAAGAGAACTCATTTTTCAATCAAAGTCCAAGGCAGAACCTCTGTGTAAGTAACAGAGAAATAGAGCTCCTCTACTGGTGTAGAGACATGGAGTCCAGATTATTTAGGCGTCTTCATTCCTAGAAGCCAGATATACTTCCTGAAAGTCTGGATCCTCAGTTTAAAAGACTGTCTTCAGGTTATGAAATAGTTGCCTTTTACGTGTGCGCCAAGTATGCTTTATATAAAGTTTTACTTAAATGACAAGTAGTGTTTGCAAAGGCCCAGTGAAACAGAGAGGTTCTGATTCCATAGGTGGATATGTAAGTTGGTTTAACCTTTTTGAAGGACAATTTTGCAGTAGTTTTAAAATATCTATATCCTTTAAACCTGGAATTGAACTTTGAGGAGTATATTCCAAAGAGAAAACAATCAGATGTTTAAAAATATTCAACAATACAGTTAATAGCTGAATAAATTACAGCATAACCATACAATGGTATATTTTATAGACAGGTAAAATCGTGTTTTTGAAAATATTCACTCTCATTGGGAAAAATGCAAACTAAACAGTAAGATTTCTGTTTAAAACTAATTTTTGGCCGGGCGCAGTGGCTCACACCTGTAATCCCAGCACTTTGGGGGGCCGAGGCGGGCGGATCACGAGATCAGGAGATCAAGACCATCCTGGCTAACCCGGTGAAACCCCATCTCTACCAAGGACACAGAAAATTGGCTGGGCGTTGTGGCAGGCGCCTGTAGTCCCAGCTACTCAGCAGGAGAATGGAGTGAACCCGGGAGGCGGAGGTTGCAGTGAGTCGAGATCGCACCACTGCACTCCAGCCTGGGCAACAGATATAGGCTC